GCCCTGAGCGTCCGCAGCCTGCGCCACGAGGCGGCCTGCGACTTCGACGTCGCGGACCTGCCAGAGCTGGAGCGCGAGATTCTTCAGGTGGGCGAGATGATCCAAGACATGGAAATGAAGGTCAACGTGCCCCGCTGGACAGTGCAGCCCAAACAGGAGGCGGGAGCCGAGCTCCAGTCCACTGCCGGCGCCTCTTCGGGCATCTGCGTGTCTGTAGAGGAGCGCACGGGGACCTGTGACCAGAGCAAGGTCCTGGCTGCCACTGTTTTCAGCGCCGTGCTGCTGGTGGCTGTGGCCCTGGCCGTGTGCGTGGCGAAGCTAAGCTGATTGATGTCTGATGCCCACCCGCTATCCCTGTCCCATCCCCAGAGACAAGACTCAGAATGGGCTTGGGGTCTGGACTGTCACAGGGGAGCGGTTCTAAAACCCAGCGTGTGCGTGTGTACATGCGCATTTCAAGCACACATCTGCCTGGGCAGGAAATAGTTCCTGCAGGCACCGGAGGAGTTAACTTTGCGCGCGTCGTCAGGGCATTACCGCTAATGTCTGCTGGAGCTTTATTCCCTATTAATAGACAGCAGTCCACAGTGACCCCAGATCCCTCCGAGTTAATGGGTTAACATGTGTGCTACGGGGGCGTCTTTACAGAGTCCAAGCTTGCTGCCCCCACCCCTGCTAGCAACTCCTGCTCCATATGGGACAGTTTGAGAAAGAGGATGAGGCGGAGTGAAGCCTGAGAGGGGGGCTGTTTTGCTCTGTGTGGGTGGTTATTCTGTTTCCTGGACAAGAAACAAATTGCAGTAAGATGTAAGCAGTTTTGATTACCTTAATCCTTTGAGGCCTAAGCTTGGGAGAGTGCAGATAGAAGTTTATTCAAAGTGCTTTCTCTGTGGAGCTTTGGGGCTTGCTGGCAGAGTTGATCCATTGAAGTCAGTCACCTAAAGCGGCTTGCAGACGTGTGGGTCGTGTGGGTTCCTGCCGCTGATTCTACTTAGGAAAGGGAAGAAGGCTCTCACAGGACTGGGTCCATCGTATACACTTACCTGCTGTAAAGTGCTCTCCCTGCCAGCTGAGATGGAGAGTAGGGTAGGGGACAAGTTGGGGTGTGAATGCTTTGGGAAGGGCCACACACTAATATTTAAATGGGCACTTTCTCCTTTGCTGGGGCTTATTTTTGTTCCAGAACTAGACCAGAGTGTTTGATCCTCCTTTGGGGAGGGCTGGGGAATCCTCTTTGGAGCACTTAATCCTTCTATCCCCCGGAATTTGCTTGCTGGCCAGTAAGAGAGCAGGCTTTGGAGGGAGCCACACAGGTCCCTGACCCCCACGCTGCCCTCCAGAGGGTAATGTAGCATTACTGGCCCACAGAGGTTTTAAGCCAATCAGCTCCTAGACTGGGTTAGAATGTAACAGCTTTAACTTGGAATTTAAGAAGCTTTTTAAAAATAATCATCCGAGAGAAAAACTATATAACCCATCATGTACTCTCAAAGCTGGCTTTTTATAAAGGACATTGGGCCACGAATTCTTACGTGCCAAGGAGTCAAGCATAGCGTATTTACATGTATATTCAGGTCACTAAATATACACTTGGGTTGATTTTTTAAATCAATGTTCTTGAAGACAAGAGGTCATAGCATAAACTGTTGGAACCACAGGTGTAAATGACAGAAGGGGCCCCCTACTTCTTTTGATCAATCAAGAAAGAAATGCCTCCAAATATCCTTGATCCCAGGATGGAATTTACCTGCCAATACTGCCACCTCTCCCTGAAGTCCAGAGAGAGCTCTGTCGCATTCTTGGGGACGTGAGGCTGAGAAAAGAGATGCACTTAATTTTTTCAGTCATTTGGAATAGAACCTAGAGGGACTTTAGTCTGACCAAAAATTGACAAGGATTTGTTTTCTTTTTACCCCAGAAATGAGAAAGGGAGGAGGGGGTCACGGGGCAGAGGCAAAGAGCAGCAAGAATGCTATCTCTCTGGATATTCACTCCGTAACCTTTCCCCCAACCGCTCCCACTTGGCACACAGGTTCCGGTACCTCATATAGGGACAATGACAATGTGGAATCTGTGATTATGCTTTCTTTTCTTTTTATACACACACACACATATATACACACACACACACACACACGTGTGTGTGTGTGTGTGTATATATAAATATATGTGTGTGTGTGTGTATATATATATATATATTTAGAGAGAGATTTTTGCTATAGGGCACATGTGCTCACCGGAGAAACAGAAGCAAGAACTCACACACACACACACACATACACACACACACACACACCCCGCCCCAGAGGGATGGCCAATGGCCAAGCCACAATCCCTTCTCCATTCTCCTCTCAAGATTTTAGGTTTTGGGCATGCACATACATGCACCTGATGTGAGTTTTAAGCCATCGGGTCGGGACTGGAACTGAAGTCAACTACATGGGATCTGGGATCCAGCGATGTGACCATTATACCATCTACTGGTCCCTGTGATTATGCTTTCAAAGGACTCAGGAGGTCTCAATGCCTAGTCACTGTTTTCCAGTTACTAATAAAAGGAACTTGTCCTGCTTCACCCAGTGGGGGTGATTCTGAATAGGAGCCACTTGAAATTCTTTTACACCTTCCTGCCCGGGTGCCTTTGGAGATGACACAGGAAGATTTTAAACTCTTCCTCCTATGCGCAGCACAACATGGAGTGTCTGTCACTTTCCCTCAAGTCTCATCTCTCTCAGGCAAGAGAAGGTTGGGGCATTTCGTGATCAGTGTTGGAAAACATCCCTAAATGCCAGGCCCTACAGGTATTCTACTTTCTAAGACTGACTCTGTTTTTACTAGCCTATTTTGGCTCATGAAAAAAAAAAAAAAAAAAAATCCGCAGTAACTATGAAAGACAGTCCATCTGATGTTGTGTAACTGACGGGCAAAAGGGACAATCGAGTGTCTGTTATTCCTCTTTCCACCCCCTAGTCCCCCTTGGCAGATCCAGGGTGTTTAGTTTTACAGAAAATCTGATGTGCACTTGATTCTGAGGGGCCGCTCACGGAAATTTGTGATAAAATGTTGCAAAATAAATAAAGAGAAAAGCCAAATTACAATAAAGGTATTCATACTACGAGACCTGTTCACCTAAGCAACTCTTTGAGTTTGAAAAGTTCAAGCATTAAGAATATTTGGCATTATTTGGAGTTATAATGTTGCCTAAAGAACTTCTGCTAAGGCCAGCAGGTGGCGAGGTGGTTAAGGTGCTGCACTCCCACTTGTTAAGGCTGACCATGGTCCAGATCTCAGACCCAGGGGTTTGCTTCCTCACTTTCCCTCTAGCTCTGTCTCTCATGAGTGCATGTGCCCTATAGCTAATTTTAAAATAATAATAAAATTAAGTAAATATGAAAACTCCTGCTATATGACAACAACAAAATCACTTTCTACCTGTGTTTTCTAGTGGAATAATTCAAGTTAAATGTTTGATATCGAAGTCATTGATTTCCTATAAATGCTTGGTATGTTCTTATACCATGATTCAAGTGATAGGGAAAAAAGAAACCCCAAATT